CAACCCGAGCGATTGCAAGGGGGGAGGATGTTTACGTGAGGGGCCGGTGTGCCGCAACTTTAAGAGCGCACCCGCGCTGAAGAGCGCATCCGCGCTCGCCCCTCTTTGCGCTCTCGCTCCTTCGCCGGCCGTCGTCGATCGTAGTTTTTCTATTACTTTTTGCACTAGTTTTTAAGCAATTAATTCGATGTAAGCAGCCCAATAAAGCTGACCGCGTTATATCCACTGGAAGACGCCCCCGACTTTTTATTCAACATTTCTACTCCTGGAATCTTTTGCGGAACCAACGCCCCCCTACAAAACAATAGTAATCGGTTGTTCCGAAAAACATATGCTTGAAAACTTAACAGATGTTTTTGAGAAATGTAGGAAATTCAACCTAAAGCTACATCCAGAAAAATGTTCATTTTTTATGGAAGGAATACTTCCAGATGACAAGAAATACGATGTCATTATGAACTACCCAGTTCCGCACGACGCGGACAGTGCTAGACGTTTTGTAGCATTCTGTAACTATTATAGACGTTTTATAAAAAATTTCGCCGACTATTCACGGCACATAACAAGATTATGTAAAAAGAATGTTCCTTTTAAATGGACGGATGAGTGTGAAAGTGCATTCCAATACTTAAAAACAAAACTTATGGAACCTACCTTGCTACAATACCCAGATTTCATTAAAGAATTCTGCATAATAACAGATGCAAGTAAGTAAGCATGTGGAGCGGTTTTAACTCAAAATCATAATGGTCTCCAACGTCTCATTGCATACGCATCAAGAGCATTTACAAAAGGTGAAAGTAACAAGTGTACTTCTGAGCAGGAATTAGCTGCAATTCACTGGGCGATATTATATTTTAGACCATATATATATGGAACACATTTCTTAATAAGAACAGACCATAGACCTTTAATATACCTTTTCTCAATGACCAATCCCAGTTCTAAACTGACAAGTATGAGGCTCGAACTAGAAGAATACGACTTTACAGTCAAATATTTAAAGGGAAAAGATAATCATGTAGCTGATGCGTTATCAAGAATAACCATCAAAGATCTACAAAATATAACTAGAAATTTATTAAAAGTCACTACTAGATATCAAAGTAGACAAAAATTCCGCGCGGAAAATCAAGAACAAGAATTGCCAAGGCAATCTTTAAATAAAGCTTCTAAGCCCAACGTATACGACGTCATAAACAATGATGAAGTACGTAAAGTAGTGACCTTGCAGATAAAAAATATGTTATGTTTATTTAAACAAGGCAGAAAAATTACTGCAAGATATGATGTTAGCGATTTATATACTAATGGAGTTATTGATTTAGATCAATTTTTCCAAAGGCTTGAAATGCAAGCCGGTATACATAAAATCAGCCAACTCAAAGTGGCACCGTGGGAAAATATCTTTGAATATACTTCAATAGATAAATTTAAATTAATGGGCAATAAAATATTGAAAACATTAAGAGTAGCGCTACTCGACCCGGTGACCCAAATAACAAATTTAAAAGAAAAAGAAGCAATTTTGTCTACATTTCATGATGATCCAATTCAAGGAGGTCATACTGGCATATCAAAAACTTTGGCCAAAGTAAAAAGACACTATTACTGGAAAAGCATGTCTAAAGATATAACTGAGTACGTAAGAAAATGTCAAAAATGCCAGAAATCAAAAATAACAAAACACACAAAGACCCCTTTAACAATTACAGACACACCAATAAATGCTTTCGACAGAGTGATAGTGGACACTATTGGTCCACTGCCAAAATCAGAAAATGGCAATGAGTATGCAGTCACTTTAATATGTGATTTAACTAAGTATTTAGTTGCCATACCTGTTCCGAATAAAAACGCCAATACTGTCGCTAAAGCAATATTTGAATCTTTTATCCTGAAGTACGGTCCAATGAAGACGTTCATTACGGACATGGGAACAGAATATAAGAATTCAATTATAGACGATTTGTGCGAATATTTAAATATTGAAAATATTACATCCACAGCACACCACCACCAGACAGTTGGAACAATAGAAAGAAGTCATAGAACTTTCAATGAATACATACGATCTTACATATCGGCTGATAAAACTGATTGGGACGTATGGCTTCAATATTTTGTCTTCTGTTTCAACACGACCCCCTCTATGGCACATACTTATTGTCCATATGAGCTAGTATTCGGTAAAACAAGTAATTTGCCAAAACATTTTAATAGCATAGATAGTGTAGAAGCACTATATAATATAGATGACTATGCTAAGGAGAGTAAGTATAGATTAGAAGTAGCCTATAAAAGAGCTAGAGTTATGTTAGAAGCAAATAAGAATAGAAATAAACTACTATACGATCATAAAGTAAGGGATATAGATATATCAATAGGTGACAAAGTTTTATTAAAAAACGAGACAGGTCATAAGTTAGATCCTAAATATACAGGTCCGTATATAGTAACGGAAATAGGAGATAGAGATAACATAGTAATAGCAAATAATAAACATAAAAAACAAAAAGTTCATAAGGATAGATTAAAAATCTTTATTTCATAAATTGCACTTAGTATGGCCATACAAAGACACACATACATAGATAAATAAATACACATATTCTTTTAATAATTTAATTTTCTATGATTCTAACCACATAAAACAAAACAAATAAATAAAAAAAATTTATTAATTAAAAATTTTTATTATAAAAATAACTTCATTATATTACGTTATTTTTCAAAAGGAGGGAGATGTAGTATGCACATATATTGAATACCCACTGTACCGAGAGTACTTAAAGGGTGCGCACTGTAACACTTTGTTGCAGTGTTTACATAATCCAAAGTCCCGGTCATAAACCCTAAGAGGCCGAAATATGAACCGATCGTTATGCCTTAGCCCGCACACAGAAAGTGCTAGTGTCAGCATAATCGTAACAAACGGTCAGCATATGCATACCCCTCGCGCCTCCACTTGAGAGCGCATAACAACATATATTATTATATTCCTTTATATATAAGTACATAGCCGTCTCTCTGCCGCCGCCTGCGAGCAGCGCTGCTACGAGACTTAGCCTTACTTAGACTTAAGAAATATTGTAAAAGAACGGAGACATTTTGATCGTTGGAGCGGCACCTTTGCTGCTCCTTCCAAATAAAGACCAACTAAAACCAATCCCCTGGAGTTATCCTATCACAACTGCGTGCAAAGGAAAGAAGGGTGTGTGCAAAGTTTCAAGACGATAGCTTTAAAACTGAGAGACTAGTTTGCGTAGAAACAGACAGACGGACAGACAGACGGACAGACGGACAGACGGATATGCTCATATCAACTCAGGAGGTGATCCTGATCAAGAATATATATACTTTATAGGGTCGGAGATGTCTCCTTCACTGCGTTGCACACTTTTGGACAAAATTATAATACCCTCTGCAAGGGTATAAAAAAATATGCATCGCAGTGCAATACAAAAAAATATGCAACGCAGTGCATGGGGAAAAAAATTTTGCGCTCTTGGTAGCGCTGTCGGTTCACTGTTCCGGGATTAGCTTGGAGCGCTAAGCGGGGCCGGTGCTGGTTGCACAGGCTTTTCTTCTTTATTTGGTTGTTGGGGCACCGGTGCTGGCACAGGTTTGTTCGCAGAAGGGTGATTCTAGGGGTCCTCTGCAGTCATTGGGGCATTTTTTCTTTATTCTCGGTAACTCCTGTTTTGGTGGTGGATTAAGTTTTATCTTGTCTTTGGATATGTTAGGTATTACAGTGTAGGTGGATGTGTGTGTGGCTGTGGTTTTATTATTTCTTTGCGTTAGGTTTTTGAGTAGGTTTCAGTATTTTTCAGCCTTTCTGGCTTTTAAACGTTGAACCACGCCACTACGTTTTGCACACATCGCACTCTACTTACTGCGATATTCTGTTTTTTCCATTTAAATCATTGGAATTCTATTTAAAAATGGCTGCTGCTTAGTGTGTTTTTTTTTCGTTGATATTGTTTTTTTTTTCTTCAGTTGTTGATCCTATGATGCCTTCTGCGTTGGGGATCCTTCGATGTCCTTTTGTCCTGTCACGGTCGCCATGTAATGTTTTCTTGAAGGTTCCCCAGGTTTATGGTCCTGTTCCCAATTTTATTGATTATATCGGTTGGTTTAAAGGTTTAGCATATCTTTATTTTATTTAAGTTTGAGTTTGAGTTGTATTCGGAGCAGCTGTTGTTGCCGCTCCGAGCTCATGGGAGTTTCTGCTTTCTACAAATTTACTTATGAGTTAAAGGAAGTCTAAGTCTCGTAGCTGCGCTGCCCAAAGCGGCAGCGGAGAGACGGTTATGTATTCTTAAATATTTATATATGAATATATATTTATGTTATGTTCGCTTAGGCGGAGGTATGTGGACATGCACAAGGTCCACTCGTGTTACGTATATGCGGACATATGCACTTTTCGGCGTACAGCAAGGGCACAGCGGGCGATTCATATTTCTGTGCTCTTAGGTTTATGACCGAGACCTTGGATAACATAAACACTGCGACAAAGTGTTACAGTGTGTACCCTTTAAGTACTCTTGGTACAGTGGGTGGTCGATATATATATATGATATTAATAGTGCATATATGTGCATATTACAGGGGAATGTCCCCAAAAATAGTTAGATGGCTTTACACAGCGGTCATAAGACCCATTTTTTTCTACGGGGTGGTGGTCTGGTGGCCTGCTTTCACAAATTCCACAATTAGAGAGAAACTAAGGAAAACGCAAAGGATGGCGGAGGTCTGTATCACAGGCAGCCTACACCGACGGATGCCCTAGACTTCATACTCGACCTATTACCGGTAGAGGAAAACGCAAAGGATGGCGGAGGTCTGTATCACAGGCAGCCTACACCGACGGATGCCCTAGACTTCATACTCGACCTATTACCGGTAGAGATAATGGGGGTCAAGATAGCCACGCTATCGGCAATTAGGTTTCGCGAGACGGGCATATGGAAATGGACTGACCATGGACATACCAATTAGAGCTGGGAATGTCTGGGACCATCGATGTTTTCGATGTTTTTGAAAGTAAACATCGATGAAACATCGATGTTTTCAGTTAAAACACAAAAATAAAAATTAACAAGTTTATTGACTATGTTTGGTTTCAGAGCGCATCTCCTGTCGGACACGATCTGTCCAGCTTTGCTGAATGCTCGTTCTGAAGCGCAAGAAGATGATGGCACGCATAAAACCTTTTTAGCCAGCAGTGCTAAGGCCGTGGTATCCTTTGTATGCTCCTAAAATAAAGAGAAAATATTTTTACACCCATGCTACATATATTTAATTTTTTATTACCTTCCAATATTCAAGTGGATTTGCTTCTTCTGCTTCATGCGACACTTCAAAATATTGGCGGAGAATTATAATAGAGTCAGCTTTGTTAGATTTCACCTTGTCTTCCAGTTTCTTGCTCATAAACGAGAAGCGTTTTTGTTGTGGTGGTGCTGGCTGTGGACGTTGGACAGTTTTTGATAAGTATGTAGACACTTCCAGCTCCAAGGTTTTTGCTGCCTGCTCAGCATTTGATGGCTGCAGGAATCCATCCTTTTTGAACCGTGGGTCCAATATGGTTGCAAGCCTTGTTGCTGTTCGCGTCTCATACGGTGAAAACCGTTCTGGCATTCGGACCTTGAGATAATCCACTACTTGTTTCGCCTCTGGAGATATGAACGATCCCATTCCCGACACTTTTTGGCGCAACTCGCAGCATGTTGGGATAATAAGTGATATAGTCACTTTGGTATCTCCAGAAATGGATACCGTTGCATCCTGAAATGCATTCAGTATCTCAACCAATTCTTTTAGGAGAGTGATTTCGTCTGCGGTAAACGGCGGTAGTGACTTTGGAGTTTTTAAAAGAACCTTTGAGATAGATTCGTTTGTCTCCAGGATACGCTGAATCATGAAAAGCGCACTATTCCAGCGGGTAGGTACCTCCTGGACCAAACTGTACGGCTTACTAACCCCTTGCTCCTTCTTAAACTTCGCATTTGCTATATTGCTCGATTTAAAAAATGAGACTGTGCGCTTGCACTTTAAAAGCATCCCAGATACGCATGGAAGCTTTAGCAAATCTTGTACCAATAAATTTATGGTATGCGCATAACAAGAAATATGCATGATTTTGAGATGCGCACATGCTTTTTTCATTGTGGCGTCATTGTCGGTAACTATGCAAAAGACTTTCCCTAGTAAGCCCCATTCAGCTACAACATTACTGATAGTATCAGCAATGTTAATAGCTGAATGGTTTGTAGGGGAAGCTAGTTGATTTGTTGACAAAATTTTTGATGCAAGCTCAAAAGATGTGGTTACATAATGACAGGTAATTGTTAAATATGATTAATTTTCTCTTGATGTCCAGCCATCTGTTGTTAATGCGACGCTTTCTATATGCTCTAGATCTGCTTTTAAAGTATCTTTTAAATTGTTGTATTCATTTTTTAACAGTACGTTTCGCAAGTGAGTCGTACTAGGCATTTTGTAACGTGGATCAAGCTCATGAATCAACCTTGTTAACCTTACATTATTAACCACATTTAATGGCAAGACATCGGACGCGACCATATTTAATACAAGCTTGTCAATGCGTTTTTTTTTCTGACGTATTTGAGTAAAGGGTGTCACGCTCTAGGAACTTTGTCAAACTTTTTTCCTTTTCTAGAGGTTGCTCTTTTAGTAGCGCAGGATGAATACGCTTCAGGTGATCCATGGGGTTAGTGGTATTTCCACCAGTTTTGTACTGCTTACCGCACTGGTTGCAAATCGCCGTATTGCTATCTTTGCATTTTTTAAATACCTGCCAAACCATCGATGTTTCTCTTTTGCGCTTTGTTGCATGCTGTCCATCGTCGTCATTTTTTTTATTGCTAGTTGATGTTACTAAAATAATAAAAATAAAAACAGCATGCAATGAGTATATGCATAAATACCGGCCTATTCAATGCGTTTGCATACCAATACATACGCATGAATACATTTTCACTTGTATGCAAAGAGTAATTTTGAAACAATACTTACTTTTCACAAACTTGTTCATTTTGTAGCACCACGCCTACAACGAACACCACCACTTGCTTGCGAGGTATTCAAATTTTCACTACATGTGATTAAATATTTAATATAATTAAAATAATGCACCACAAAACCCATTTTACTTACACGTTGTCCCTAATGCACAGAATTAATGAAAACAATCGATAGTGGCCAACGAACCATCGATGTTGAGAAAATTTCAAAAACATCGATGGTATCGATAGTTCCATCGATTGTTTTCCAGCTCTAATACCAAGTTAGATCTACACCACTGCACGCCAACGGGGGCTACAGACTACTGCGTACCTGTCGATCATCCCACCTTAAAATACAAGGTCTCCATTCCAACAAGGGAGGAATGGGCCACAAAAATTCCGGGACCAGGCGGTTCCCTCCATATCTACACAGACGGTTCAAAATTGAATGGCCAGGTGTGAGGCGGTTTCCATTGTGAACGGCTGTGTCTAAATGAATCCTTCAGACTCCCTGACCACTGTAGTGTGTTCCAAGCAGAAGTAATAGCTATCGGAGAAGCACTTAGATTCCCAGCACTTATTGGCAATCAAGACTTAATCTGTCTCTTCTCAGACAGTCAAGCGGCACTCAAAGCCCTTGACGGATTTTCGTCCAACTCCAGGACAGTAAATGACTGTCGCAGATCTCTTAACGAGATGGCAGAGCAGTATGACATCCACCTCATATGGGTTCCCGGGTATAGGAACCACGAGGGTAATTGCGCCGCCGACGAACTGGCAAGAGCAGGTATTACCAATCCTCTCCTACCGTAGAAGGAACCAGTAGGTATCCCCTTAGCTATATGTAGGATAAAAAAAAAGGGGTCACTTTGACTGCGCATCACTGAGGAAATGGAGAAATTTCCAAAACTGCAGGAACTCACGCATGATATGGCCCATCCGTTCTATGTCTAGGTCAATGATGCTTATCGCCCTTAACAGGCAGGACTGTAGTCTGGCGGTCAGGGCCATTACGGGACATTGGTTAATAGGAGCACACGCGGCTAGACTAGCGGTGCCATATTATGAATACTGCAGGAGCTGTGGGGACGTAGAAGAGGAAGAGGCAGTCGCACACCTCCTGTGTCATTGCCCTGCGCTGGGGCGCAGCCAACTCAAATTCTTGGGAGCAGCAATACTCACGGACCTAACAGACCTCGCGGAGATCGCTCCACGCAGACTCGTAGCTTTCATCCGTAAATCTGGATGGGATTGCGAACCACCGCAGGAAGGATAGAACACTCTTGGGCACATCAGTAGATAGGAAGGGAGAGGTCCTCTTGTAGGACCCTTGCCTATGCGGTATCACAAGAAGCCCCAGCGGCTCAAGTGGATGGGGGGTCAGTCACTGGCCCCGCATCGCCGCCTCAACCTAATCTAACTTTCTTCTGATTTCGCTATTCACGAAGTCGTTGACAGATAGAGCATACGGATATTGTTTCCCGTATATTGGCCTATCGTGGATAATATTTATTTCCCCCTTCATGTCTGTTCTGAAAGAATTTGGATATTTATCTTTGAATGCTCCTTTTCAATATAGTGAACTATCATTTCCCTTAGTCCGCCTAATTGGTCGGTACCTATATTATTTATTTGATTTTTGACGGTATTTACTTCGTCGGCAATCTCAAGATTATTAATTCCCAAGATATTTTTATTTTTATTGACGGATATTTCTACGTCGGCGTTCTCAGGATTTTTCATTCCCAAGATATTTTTATTTTTACTGACGGATATTTCTACGTCGGCGTTCTCAGGATTTTTAAATCCCAAGATATTTTTATTTTTGTTGACGGATATTTCTAGCAGTAAGGTGTGCTATACTGTTTTAAAGTTTACAGGAAGCACATCAAACTTTGTGAAACATAAATGCTACATCGTAAATGCCAGTGGGTTTTCGGGTCTGGACCCCCCCCCCCCATGGGATCATGTACATTTAAATTTTATTGGGCATGTTGGTGAAGTTGAAACACAAAGTTATTAATAAAAATTCATAATTTATTGAATGTTTTACACAAATATTAATTTATATTCGAATAATAAATGCAATAACAGATAGACGGTTCTAGTCGCTCTTAAATTTTCGAGGTTTTTCAAAAAACTTTTTGAGAATTTCGTCTTCAGTCAAAGATATTCCTAGATGAATGTTTAAAGATGCAAGACCATTGTGACGCTCTTGACGCATCGTGTTTCTTAGATAATCTTTCATTCTCCTCAAAGTCGAAAATGATCGTTCTGGAGTTGCTGTGGTCACGGGTATCACCGCCAAAACTCGTAGGATTTTGTTGACGTTTTTGAAAGATCTGCCATTTATAATCTGCAAACATTTCTTCTATTTACATTTTCAATGGATATTATTTATTTTACTTTGTTCCAAATTGCACCAAAAAAATCTCTTACTCAATTAATTGTCAATAAGTCGTCTCTTAGTGATTTTTCTCTGATTCTTTTAAATTAAAAAATTTTGTTTTTGAATTAAATAGAATATAAATGATACTCTATTAGTATTATAATCAATCAGATTTTTTGGAACAATATATGAGAAATCTGGCATTATTTTTTAGCCAAAAATTATCTGAATTTGGGAGATACTCAATGCTAATGCATCAAGTGCATTTTCGATGTTTTGGTTGCAGATCCGTTGTCTCCACATTTTGACTTCTGAAATAAAACTACTCTCGGAACAATCCAGTATATCTTCGTAAAATTGGTAGAGACTTTCACATTTCTTCTCGTCGAATTCTTGTTTGAGGAATAGCTGTCCAAAACTTTGAAAAACAGTCTTGTGATTTTCAAACCGACTCTGAAGATGAGAAATGTAGGTGTCGTGAAATGGGATGTAAAATGCGATTTTGCAATGCTTTTCAACTGTTTTCACTTCAACGTTGCAACGATTTTTTTGTCTACTGCATATACGAGGCATTTTTATTTCAATCTCGTACTCCGAACAAATTTCAGAAACTTTTTGATAAACAATGTGGAAGCATGAATCCACGTTTTCACGCTTTTCCTTTAAGTCATTCAAAGCATCATCAGCCAATTTCGTGGCCTCTCCCAGATCTTGATTTTTCAATTGCAATTCTCGACTCAATGGCAAAACGACGGAATTAATTGATTCCATAATATGACAAGAAATTTAGAAATCGATTGTAAAAATCGCTGTCAAAAGTTGAGATGCTGCCCGTGAAGTTTCTCGATCCATCCACGTTTCTATTTCTTCCAACGCTTCAATAACAGCCGGTTGAAGTTCGACGTATCTTGATAAAACTTCATGAGACTGAGCCCATCTTGTAGGACAAATGGACTTACATTTTTCTTTTCTTCGCTCACTTTTCTCTGTAACTTTTTAAATTTCGTTCTTCAAGATGCTTTGTCTCTTGGGCCAGTGAAAAAATGCTTAAATTGCTCCGGTAGTTCGCAACGCGTTTTTGATACCAGATACTTCGCAAGCTGCATTGATGGTCAAACTGAAGCTGTGTGCGGCGCAATGCACATAAACTGCGAGAGGAAAATGAGACCTCAAATAAGCCTGTGCTCCATGAAATTCGCCACTCCGTCGTATCCTTACATGATAGCCGTACTTGAATGAGGAATCCCCGCCGATACCGGAGCCCACCTTGTAGGACAAATGGACTTACATTTTTCTTTTCTTCGCTCACTTTTCTCTGTCATTTTTGAAATTTCGTTCTTCAAGATGCTTTGCCTCTTGGGCCAGTGAAAAAATGATTATATTGCTCCGGTAGTTCGCAACGCGTTTTTGATACCAGATACTTCGCAAGCTGCATTGATGGTCAAACTGAAGCTGTGTGCGGCGCAATGCACATAAATTGCGAGAGGAAAATGGTACCTCAAATAAGCCTGTGCTCCATGAAATTCGCCACTCCGTCGTATCCTTACATGATAGCCGTACTTGAATGAGGAATCCCCGCCGATACCGGTCAGATAAATCCTGATGGAATTAGCCAGAGCTTGTCCAGAAACGTCAGTGACGGGAACGAATCCGAGGAAATCCTCACAAATATTTGTTTGTGAATCCAAGTATCGTGTGCAAATGGAAAATTTTTCTATGCTTAAAATGTCAGTCGATTCGTCGGCTAAAACTGACAATCTTTCCGATTGATTTATTCGATAAACCATTTTTTTTTTATCAATTCATGCCAAGTTGCAATAATTTCATTTTGAATGGTTTTGCTCAAATATGTTGAATTTTACGGATCAGACAAAAGGTTTTTCTTGTGTGTTTCGTCACCTTCAGCTCGATACCGCAGAATTGAACGAAAGTTTCCTTCGTTTGAATATTTTCCATCAGTTTTATCATCCCCGTCAGGTTCTTCTTCATTATATAATACAAACATCCATCGTCTCTACGGCCACGAAGTTCAATTCCTTGGCGTCCACACAATACTATTGCACTAACTATGGGTTTCAGTCGTTCGTAATTCTCTTCTTTAGTGTTTTCTTTCTGCTGATCGAGTTGTTCATCAATAGATTTAGTTTTGCCTAGCTGAATATCGCATAAATGTTCAAAAGCAACGATGGATATTTCATGGTAATCAAGTTTTTCGTGGTTCCGAAAAATTTCTTTCGCGTGCTTCCAAGTGTTGAACGGCTTGTTGATAAGTTTCCCCAGACGTACGTCGCGTATTCTACCGGTTTTCACGCCAAAAGCTATGCAGCACTTACAATATGCGCCATTTTCTTTCGCAGAATATGCCAACCAGCGAAATTCCTCAAGCCATTTTCTTTGGAAAGATAAATTTTTGGCAGTTGATGTCGAAAAATTAGCTGGTGGCACCCACGAGTCGTCGATAATGTTCAGGATTTCACTCGCGTTCCTTGTATTTGAAGCATTAGACGTGGCTAGAGCGATGTCGTTTTTGAATGGAAGCAATTCTATTTTGATTTTGTTTGTATCTTCGGAAGTCGATTGTTCTTCAGTTTCCGGTGGATTTTCTTCGAGGTTAGGCTTCTCTTTATTTTCAATCTGTGTCAAAAAAATATGGTTAGCTAAAAACTAATGACAATCTTCAGTTTTTTCAGTGCCATCTTT